GGGCGGCGCCGTGACGCGCCTCGGGGCGGTCCTCCGGCGCGCGCGCGTTTTCTCCCCTCGGCTGGGGAAGTCGGTGCTAGTGACCGGAGGCAGCGGCGGCGGCGAGCGGTTCCCTGCGGCCTCGGTAAGCAGTCCTGGCGGGGAAGGAGGGACGCTCACGCCGCGTCCCGGGCGCGGGGACGTGGGGACCCCGGGTCACTTAGCGGAGACTGTCCGGGTCGCAACGGTTTTCGGGAGGCGGCGGCGGCGACGCCCTCGCCGCGCTGCGCTCCGCGCCCTCTGTGCGCTCAGCCGGCCCGGGCGGAGGGGAAGTTTGCGCGCACCGCCTGCCCGCGTCCCTGCCGGTTCCGGGGTCCCAACCCGGCCGGGCGGGGGGCCGGGGCCGGGGACCGAGCTGCAGCTCGGGGACTGTCTTATTCCGGTCCCTTTCGACCCTTTTTGTTCCTGTCGGAGGAGGACGAGGCGCGGGCCTGCTTCCTCGGGAGCCCGCGGGCCTGGGGGCTGAGCCTTCTCACCTCCGCGGGGCTGGTCGCGGCGCCGGACGGGAGGAGGGGTGTTTGCCGAGGGCGCAGCCCCGATGGGGGGCGGGGGAGGCGGTGCTGGAAGAAAGGGAGCCGGGTTCCAGCCGGGTGTGTTCCGGGATGTGTCCCCGAGGTCTGACTCAGAGCCTTCGGGCAGGATTTCCTGGTGAGAAGGGACCTTTCCCTTTCGCGCAGTGGGGTTATTTAATCCCGAGTCTCCTATGTGCGCCGGCTTTATGAAAGGTGTTTCTCGGTTTCTCCGCCTGGATGCATTACCCGCACACACAGTCACTGCCGCTTTTCCATTATGCAAGCCCATCACTTAGAAAGTCCGTTTGGTTTACCACACTCTCAGCATTCACTTGCTTCAAAGAAAACACACACAATTGGTTAAAAAGGAAAATGACATTGAAAAACAGCTGCAGTCGGTTCGCTTTATCTCAAATATGCAGACGTGATTCATTTAAACTCAAATTTGTCTTTAGTTTTTATTTGCTGTTGTGGGTAGACAGTAAAAAACGTGTTTTGTTTTTTAATTTTATTGTCTCTGCTACCAGCTTAGTTCTGTAAATCACTTTCCTCGTGGTGGATAGGATACATCAACTGACTTGTGCCACAAAATAAAAATAAGGAAGTGGAACGTCTTTTTAAAGGTTCAGGAAATAGGCACTGCATTTACTTAAGTATAACTTAGGCAACATTCATTTTTAGTTATGTTTGTGCATTATAAGGATGTAAAAAAACCATGACCCAAAGAGGGAGAATTTCCTAATAGTTGGCTAAGTACACTGAAATGTGTACTGTTAAATTAAAAAGAAAAAAACCACTTCCTTAACCGGAACATGACTCAACTATTTTTTTCCCTGTTTTCGCCAGATTTAGGTACCTTTTTAAGGTAGTACATGCCAAGAGTTTAAAAAAAAAAAAGATTCCCCCAAACAACTTTTAAAAATACTTCCTACACCCGGTAATAGTTATATTAGTACGTTTTAATTTCTAATTGCTGCAAATATTTTTTGTTCAATTCGTTTTTGAGGAGGTAAGCAACAACGTGACTGAAAGTTAAGCAATAAAGTTAAGCAATGGTATATAGTCTCCCATTTAGGTTCCCCAGCCAACCATAATTCCTTTCTGTAGGAGCCAACCGTTTTTGCATTTTTAGGTATTTATTCGGGGATATTTTGTACCTATATAAGCAAGCATCAATGTATTTCCACCCCTTCCATTTCATTCCATTTTTTGTTATTGTGGCAAAATACATTGTAACGTAAAGATAACCATTTTTAAGAGTACAGTTCAATGGTATTAAATACATTGATACCAGGTAACTATCACCACCACCATCCATCCCCAGAACTTCTTCACCTTGATAATTGAAGCTCTATACCCATGAAACTAATTTCCCATTCCCCCAGCCCCGACATCAGCCATTCTACTTTGTGTCCTTATGATTTTGACTAAGCACCTCATATAAGTGGAGTCGTAGAGTATTTGTCTTTTTGTGATGTCTTCTTTCATTTAGATGTCCTCAAGGTTCATCCATGTTGTAGCATATTGCAGAATTTCCTTCCCTTTTAGGGTTGACTAATATTTTATTGTACATATATGCCACATTATGCTTATCCGTTCATCCTTCCATGGACACTTGGGTTACTTGTAAGTGTGAGCAATTGTGAATATTGCTGCTATGAACATAGGTGTACAAGTAATCCCTCAGACCCAGATTTCAGTTCTTGCAGGTATATACCCAAAAGTGGAATTGCTGGATTACATGATAATTCTATTTTTGTTTGAGGAACTGTCAAATCGTTTTCTATAGCAGCTGTAGCAATTTATACTCCCACCAACGTTGCATTTCCATAGTGATTGGTGATGTTGAGTATCTTCAGATGCTTATTCGTCACTTCTGTATCTTCTTGGGAGAAATGTGTATTCGACTTTTTTGCCAATTTTGTTTTTTTGTTGACTTTTAGAAGTTCTCCAGATATCCTGGATATTAATCCCTTATCATATATATGATTTGCAAATATTTTCTCCCATTCTGTGGATTGCCATTTTACTCTGTTGTTAGTGCCTTCTGCTGCACAAAATGGAAAATTTTTCATGAAGCCCAATATGTCTCCTTTTTCTTTGATTACCTATGCTTTTGGTGTCATATCCAATAAATCATTGTGAATCTTTTGTCCTATGTTATCTTCTAAGAGTTTTATTGTTTTAGGTCTTATATTTAGGTTCTTGATCCATTCTGAGTTAGTTTTTTTTATATGGTGTTAGGTAAGGATCCACCTTCATTGTATTGAAAGTGTCCTAGGTGTACCGGTTAATAATGGCGGATTTTGTAATCAAAGAAAACACGATAATTTCAAGAGAAAAATCAAAAGTGCTTTATTCAAAGTAATGTGCATTGCTAGCTACACATTTCCCCCATCTTTCAGGTAATTTGTGGATACTGTCCCAATAGAACTTTTCTTGTTTTGAGGCA